ATGCCAGCCAAGTTGAGGATGTTAATATTTGAGGAAAATGTCATATTAGGCGCTCTTACGCCCAACTACATTGACGCTGAATGATCATACGTGCCAGGTAAATTTTAAATTCAATGTTGTGAGAAGAAAGATAGGTACTGATTCAAAACATTAGGTGAACAAAATTGAAACAAGGCTACGCTATTAATGTGCTCTCGAACGTTCTTATTTCAGGAATGGGAACGTGCTGATCGGTTGGTTCGGTTTCTTGTGTGATGAGGCGCGCAAGCTGAAACCGATTTTGTTAACTTTTGAAAGACTGTTTCACCATCATGTACAGAGTGCGGCCTAAGTATGGTTACAAGGTTGTAACATCGATTTAAGAAACTGGTTGATTTTTATTTCTGAATTCTGGCTTTATTCCTTTAGACCAGGTAAAAACGAATGGAAAACCAATAGATTCTGGCTTTATTCTTTTTAAAAGGTAAAATCCGATGGAAAACCAGTAGAAAGATAAGAAAGATGAAGGACATGTTCAGAAGAGGACGAAGGAGGACCGTTAACACCCGAACGATGCACCAGTAGATTCTGGCTTTATTCCTTTAGACCAGGTAAAGGCCAATGGGGAACAACAGTAGATTCTGGCTTTATTCTTTTTACAAGGTAAAATCCGATGGAAAACCAGTAGATTCTGGTTTTATTCGTTCTACAAGTTGAATTTCAAGGGAAAACCAGTAGATTCTGGCTTTATTCCTTTAGACCAGGTAAAATCCAATGGAAAACCAGTAGATTCTGGCTTTATTCTTTTTAGAAGGTAAAATCCGATGGAAAACCAGTAGATTCTGGTTTTATTCGTTCTGGGTACTAAGTTGAATTTCCCCCAAGGGAAAACCAGTAGATTCTGGCTTTATTCTCTTTACAAGGTAAACAGCAAAACCAGTAGTCTTATCCTTTCCTTTCCCCTCATCTTCCCTCTCACCCTACCTTCGCTTCCCCTCCTCTTCCCTTCCCAAAAATTTTGCTCAAGGGGAGCATCTGAAAACGCGGTGGTTTGAAATATAATCATATCGAATAATCACCTAATGCTCTTTTTTTCTTTAGTCAATATACAACTACGACAATTTATCTCGAAAACGAAAATGGCTAAGTCCAGAGTAATTCCACAAACCGACACCGATACCAGAACAGCTCTTCAGAAAAATAGAATAACCTCCGTGGGAGTCATTAGTGAAAGAGATGGATTTATTAAGAGTAATCCCGGTGGGAGCGTTTTCAGGCCTAAAAGGGTTTTCAGCACTGAAAAGCATTGATTACTGTAAGACTTTTTCGGACCCAGAAAACGCTTTTAGTCCAGAAAACGCGCTTCAGGCCTGAAAATGTTTTTTCGGCACTGAAAAGAATATGCTTTCAGTACTGAAAAGCTTTTGATTATTGTAAAGGCTTTGTAATATTCTCTTCCCAGAGAAATATGAATTTGACTACAAACCAAACAAAATATTGTAACTATTTGTAAATCTCATTGTTTTCACTTGTGCAAACAATTCTTGCCGCTGAAGCAAATCTCCGATTGAATGAAACAATGAGAGATCAGGTATTCAATTCTGTAAGGAAAAAAAGATTGGCTACCTTTTGACTATAAAATATTGGCTATACTATTGGCTGTATCTTTTGGCCATAAAAAGAACATATGTTTTTGAAGTGGAGTGTCCTAGTGACGACTTTTGACTTTGACTTCTTGGACGTACATAAAGCACATAACTCAGCTCCCATCAAAGGCCGTCCAAAAAGTGTAACGAAAACCAGACGACGAATTATAGCTGGACACCAAAAAAATTTTATGTGAAAAATTTGTCGTTTTTCGTGCAGCGAACCCATTCCCCGATTCAGTTTATATATAAGAAAACAAAATGATTGCACACAACATTGAAAGATATTCTTCTGGTTTTTAGTTGCAGAAGGCGTTCCACCAATGCGCGGAACCACCATTAAAGTCTTTTGAAACGCAGCAAGCGACGACAACACCACAAGAATAAATATTTTTAAATGGAGTTGTGTAGAAAATTGTGGACTATTTCAAAACTACATTTCCTAAACTAAGCCTTTATCGGCCTTGTTTAACGGTGTTTGTAGCAACAGTCAGAATATTTTTGATGATTGAGAATTTAACTCACTGGACAAAGGAGTCGCATGCCGGGACGACAACAGATGTGATATAGCCACTACAACCTCACGAGAGACCTGGTCGGAGCCAAAGAAGCCGGAACTATTCAACTCATTTTGCCTTTTTCCACTACAAAACTACCCTTTTTAAGATCGTTTTTGACACAGATGTGTGCCCTTTTAGCCCTGTCAATTTCCCAGTGGCCACCTGCGGTCTCAAGGTGGTGTAGTGGTTATCTCATTGAGCTGGCTTTGAGTTGAAGAGAGTTGACCACCCAATTGTTGATCTCATGTGATGTCTTTGAGCTGGTTCTTCTCATAAGAGGAATGTTCCATAGTCCCGAAATAAGTGATAATCTGGGAGCCATCATCCGGGACTATAATACGGGGGCATCAGGAAAGCACTTGCCACTCTACTCATAACAGTAACCATTTCCTGCTTTTAGCACTTCGCATTAAAAATGAAGTAATCCTTGGTTAATACAATCGTTCAACACAGAGAAGAGCTTCTTTCCATGTTGTTCTGGTTTCTGCATGTCAGTTTAGGAATTACTCCTGGACTCAGCCATGAGATTGACGTCTTCTCCAGATAAATTGTCGTATTGTGTATTGAAAAATAAATAATCTCCGTGGGAGTTACCATGTTAGTGAAAAAGCGATGGATTTATTAAGAGGTAAATCCCGGTGGGAGAGTTTTCAGGCCTGAAAGCGCTTTCAGCACTGAAAAAAAGCATTGATTTATCTTGTAAAACTTTCAAGGTCTGAAAGGCTTTCAGGCTCAGGGGGAATGCTTTCAGTACTGAAAATGCTTTCAGTACTGAATGCTTTCAGTACTGAAAAAACACCGGTAGTGTAAAAGGCTTTCAGTAATATTTCTCTCAGAGAATATGAATTCTGACTACAAAATAAACAAAAATATTGTAACTCATTTGTAAATCTCATTGTTAAAAATAAACATTTCGAATTAAAAATAAACATCATTGAAGATTCGAACCCCACCCAAAAAAGTACTCGAAGATTAATTCCGTTCAACGGTTCAAGGCTGTCAGATCCTCAGCACGGTTCAAGGAAGCTGATCTCTCTAACTCCTCCATTGCCTTTGCCTTTTATTTTTGGGGTGTTGGACAAAGAAATCCGTGCAAATCTGTGTGTTTCACATCATTACAATCCTTTTCACTCATCATTACAATTGGCATTATGGCAATCATTATAATCATTACACCCCATCTTTGCACGCTTTATCATTAAAATTGATACTAAACGCCATTTTTCCTACTGACCCGATAATATCCCCTCATACGCGGATCTCATGATCCCGAATGTCAACATTTGCCCAGTCCAGTCGATTCTCACCAACTAAGGGATTCCCCGCTAACAGCACTCGATGAATGAAACAATGAGAGATCAGGTATTCAATTCTGTAAAAGATTGGCTACCTTTTGACTATAAAATATTGGCTCTCTTGGCTATCTTTTGGCCATAAAAAGGATACATATTGTTTGAAGTGGAGTGTCCCCTGGTAGACGACTCGACTTTGACTGTGACGCATGGTACAACCTCAGGCCCAACACATAGGTCCAAAGTGCTGACGAAAACAGGACGAAGAACTATAGCTGGACACCAAAAATTTTATTTGAAAGAATTTGTCTGAACTTTCGTGCGAAAAACCATTCGATTCAGTTTATATATAAGAAAACAAAATGATTGCACACAACAATTGGAAGATATTCTGGTTTTTAGTTGCAGAAGGCGGCTCCACCAATGCAGGAACCACCCATTAAAGTTCTTTTTGAAACGCAGCAAAGCGACGACACCCCTCTAAAAATGCCAATAGAAAGCAAATTGGCGAGCGATAAAAACTAATTTTTAAAACTACAAAGCCTTTATCCGCGGGCCTTGTTTAACGGTGTTTGTAGTACACATTCAGAATATTGCTCGGATTCGAGAATTTTAACTCACCGGGCAAGAGGAGGACGCATGCCAAGGGACGGGCAACAGCGTTGATCCATGGCAGAAGAAGCTAAAATCTTTGATTCTTTTGAGCTTCAGTAAGCTTCATTTGGGCCATCTTTCTAATAAGCCAAAAACTTGAAGCAATTTATAGGCTGAGAAATGCGCTAACTTGAATGAAACTTTTGAGAAGATTAATTTATTTAAACTTCGAATAACCCACTGAAGACGAGAAGAACCGGCGAAGAGAAGAGCGGAGACAAAGGAGAGCAGGCGCATTAAGCTTGTAATGTTAGAGCCCCAGTTAGAGCTAGGAACTAAATAAGGACGATCAAGAATGAGCTTTTCTTTTAAAGGAGCTTTCCACCAAAGCTAAATAGGGATAAAGGAGCTTTAAGAGAAAGAAACCTAGAAGAGAAGAGCAAGACAAGAGGCAGAAGAGAGTTCCATGTGTTAGAAGCTGTGAACTGATGGCAGATCGAAATCCCCGTCAGGTCCCAATACTATTTATCTTTATATACAAGCTGGATTGATAAACAACCTAAAACAAAAAAATCGATTCAAAAACGAGTCAAAAACGTGAGCTAGATAGAGTCGAGATCACGTGGAAGGCTCTTGAAGCAAAACTGATTAGGGATGCGTCCTGTGTCTTCGAATGCATCTTTGCCAAATATTTACTATGACCAGCATGTTGAGGTCGAGATATGCTTCCGATGTAAAAGAGCTTTGATTTCCTCTCTCCACATCCTCGCAAAAAGTACCGCTTGGCGAGGCATATTCCTTTGCAAACTTCTCGATCAAAATTGTTTAGGCCATGAAGAAAGAGAAGAACCAATCGATTTCAGTGGCTGAATCGAGATTTTAAAATAAATAGTTTTAATGCCAAACTTTTATTTACCAACCTCAGCTTCATGATGCGGTTTGATGCTCGATTGCCACCCGTGCACCCCGAGACCCTTTGTGTTCCTGGTAGCGGATCAATTCTGCTTCCCAACTCTCATCAGCCAAACCCACATCTGGCCGTCCTCAGGTAAAATCGGTTGAGTTTATTGTTGGTTTGCTGGGCAAAAATACTAAAGATATTAGTAAATATACTACTTATTCAATACTTACTACTTGCTACTAATATACTATAGTTTCTCAAATCAAAATGCCTATGCTCGAGTAAACCAGAGTACACAAAGTTCATCAGCACCGTTGCCAACCATAAAATAAGTTGCCGAAGTCCTAAGCTAAAAAATAAATAACGTAATTGCATTTCTCCCAAAACCGAACCTTGTACTTTTCCCCATCAACATCAACATCCAGCGCCATGTAACGCGAACCAAAGCACCGATCCAAGTGTGATTTAAAATCGAGAATTGGTTGATTGGGGTTGAACAATCCTGTTAATAGAATAAAACTTTCAACATAACTATTATAGTTTTACCCCGTGAAATTCGTTCCCGATTTTCTTCACTTCTTTTGGAGAGACATTTCACCGGCCGGTTGAAAGGCGCGCACAAGAGCGAAAGCGTGAACCGGAACCAGCGAAGGCTCAAGATTTTACCATTGGAGATCGCACACCAACTCGATGAAGACGTCCTTTCTATGCCACACAATGCTTCTCACACTAAGCCTGAACCAGCTTCCTCGGGCGTCCCTTCTACCGGCTTTTCCCCATCTGGAATTTCTACGGGAAGCTGCCTATCCACAATAGCACAATTCATCTACGCATCGCATCCGCCACTACCCGGCATGCAAACGTTGTCGGAGACGAGACTTCCTGAAAAATCTCCAGAGAGATTACCATTGCCTTCTTCTCCAATGGAAACAAAACCAGCTATAAACTGTGGGCAAGACTCGCCCACTACAAATTACTACTACACTACGCCCACTACAAATTACGTCCTTTCTATGCCACCCATGGCTTCTGACATTAAGTCTGGAACCAGCTTCCTCGCCGTCTACTCTACCGGCTTCCCCCTATGGATTATCCACGGGAAGCTGCCTATCCACAATGGCTCCAAGTAAGATTACTCTATGTGAGATTGTCAGAATAAAGAATAATTCGTAATTTATTCCTGTAGGCAAGAATCTTATCGGTAGATACCAACTTAATTCACATTTAGGGTTTGCTCAAGCTACGACGAACATGGTGGGGTCTGATGGCTCAAGGATTCCTGAAGAAAGTGGGTTTAATTGGAATAAATCTTATCAACATTACAAAAGCTTTTTAAATAAAAAATATTGATAAATCAGTAAAGAGTAATGTAAAAGCGTCTTTGAGTAAAGTGCTTAGGTTATAAAGAAAGCGAGCAAATGACTGCGTGAGGGAAAGTGTGGAAATGCATCGATATTTGACTGAATTCAGCCATTTCACATATTCTTTAGCGTGCTCAGTTTTCAAAAGACATTTGCGCTGCTCAAGAAAAGTGTAGACAAGAATCTTATTGGTAAATGCTAAATTAAATGTGAAATCGAAGAAAGTGGGTTTATTTTGTTTCGAGGGCTTCTATCCACTCAGAAACCTAAACGTATTCAGCAAAATTAGGATGGCTTTTTCAGTGATGGCTCGAATGGATCGCCTGGATTTGATTAGAGAGAGGTTGGGTGCCAATAACATTCCACCAGTTTTGCCAGGTAAGATCTTTTCAATTTCCCATTCAATAGCTATTTTCAGTCTCCTCTGCTCCCGCATTGGTTGCCGCCCTTCCACAGGTGGATTGTTTTTCAAAGCTAATTTATGATTCTTTTTAGGTCAATGTTACGGGTGCTTCAATAGAGAATTCTCCACCCACTTCAGCTGATCCACGAGCAGTCAAAAATGTGAGTTTGTTTAAAGTTTAGCTATTAATAGATCAAAGCGTCCACAAACGTTTCATTGCAAAGAAAGAATCCACCTTCTCTACCATCATGTTTACTCGATCGAGGCATCAAGGTATGAAGCGGGTAGTTTATTGGCGTATTAACAATGTTTAGATCGAGAAAATCATGAAACTTTTTCGTGAAAAATGAGCTGGTGGGGCTGTGCAAATACAAGAACTGTCTTGTAATGCAAATTGTTACCGTCGAAAAGATTAAAGAAGTAGACCCACAGGTAAGAATATGTTTGTTATGTTTTACTAATAAATTTAGGCTCTCCTCCGAGCATACGAGGCATTATTCTGGGACACGCAGACCAACGGCTAGAGATTTTTAATTTGAAATATAAATTTTTTTCCTTGTTGTTTTTCATTATTTCTTAATTTGTTTTTGCGCTATTTTATATACCTGATAAATATTTTTGTTCTTTTTTGGTTTGTTTGTTTTGTTTTGTCACTTTGCAAACAGGAGAATGCTGATGTAAGGGTTCAGAGTTGCTCAATTTGTTTTTTCTAGGTTAAAGAATGGTTTGATGTTCCACATGGCTCGGTAACAATTGTTCCTCTCAAGAAAGAGACGAGCGCTCAAATTTTTACAGTATTTGACAAAGGAGATTTACCTGAAGATATTGAGCTTGTACAACATGGATAAAAGGCTTAGGTTGGGTAGCTTGCATATTAATAGTGTTAACGAGAACTCCAGGTAGAAATGTTTCTGTAATACGACGTCCAGACATTGGCCAACCTTTCATGAAGGTTTCTTTTTTAATTTTAAGAGGATCATAGTTATAAGTTAACAAAGATTCAAAGAATGAGACACTGGACAGGACGGGTTTTTCTCTTTGTTACTAAAATACCTATGCAACGCTATAAAAATATGTCTTGATCAAAGATTGGAAACTCTTACTGTTTGAGTTTTTGAAGTAAATCTTCAAAGTTTAGGCTTTTCCGAGAGGATCGATAGTTTACTTGTTGCCTACATTGCTGATATGGTTGCAGCAAGTGATGTACAAATCGATCTCATAGCCGTGGCTTTTGGCCTATCAGAAACAGTTTGTTACAATATTTTGACTTAATTATTTGTTAATAGGAATGCGAGAAAACTCCAGACAGAATCCGGGGAAGAGCTGGCTTTGAGGAATTGAAGAGAGCGGGCCGCTTCGTCGATGGAATTTCATACGGTGAAATGTCTCTCCAAAAGAAGTGAAGAAAATCGGGAACGAATTTCGAGGTAAACTATAATAGTTATGCTGAAAGTTTTATTCTATTAACAGGATTGTTCAACCCTGTCAACCAATTCTCGATGAATCACTTGGATCGGTGCTTTGGTTCGCGTTACATGGCGCTGGATGTTGATGTTGATGGGAAAAGTACAAGGTTCGGTTTTGAGAAATGCATTCGTTATTTATTTTTTAGCTTAGGACTTCGGCAACTTATTTTATGGTTGGCAGCGGTGCTGATGAACTTTGTGCTGGTTACTCGAGACATAGGCATTTGATTTGAGAAACTATAGTATATTAGTAGCAAGTAGTAAGTATTAATAAGTAGTATATTTGCTAATATCTTTATTATTTCTAGCAAACGAACAATAAACAAACCGATTTACCTAGGACGGCGCGATGGGTTTGGCTGATGAGTTGGAAGCAGAATTGATCCGCTCAGGAACACAAAAGGGTCTCGGGGTGCACGGGTGGCAATCGAGCATCAACGCATCATGAAGCTGAGGTTGAAATAAAGTTTGGCATTAAAACTATTTATTTTAAAATCTGATTTCAGGCACTGAAATCGATTGGTTCTTCTCTTTCTTCATGGCCTAAACAATTTTGATCGAAGTTTGCAAAAGAATATGCTCGAAAAAAGCAATTGCATTTTTAGAGATGGGAAGATGAAAACAACGCACACCGGAAGCATATCTCGACCCAACATGCTGGTCATAAATATTTTGCAAAAAGATTCGAAGACTCTGGTTCTGCAAAAAGATTCTGGCTTTATCCTTTTTGCAAGGTAAAATCCACAGGAAAACCAGTAGATCCTGGCTTTATTCTTTTTACAAGGTAAACAGGAAAACCAGTAGATTCTGGTTTTATTCGTTCTACAAGTTGAATTTCAATGGAAAACCAGTAGATTCTGGCTTTATTCTCTTTGCCAGGTAAAATCTACGCGGAAGAAAGTAGATTCTGGCGTTATTCTCTTTACAAGGTAAACAGGAAAACCAGTAGTCTTATCCCTTCCCCTTTCCCCTCATCTTCCCTCTCCTCCCTCTCCACCCTCTCTTTCCTTCCCTCCTCTTCCCTTCCCTCCTTCCCCCAAAAATTTTGCTAAGGGCATCTGAAAACGCGGTGGTTTGAAATATAATCATTCGAATAATCACCTAATGTTTTTTTCTGGCAATATACAATACGACAATTTATCTCGAAAACGTCAATGGCTAAGTCCAGGAGTAATTTCTAAACCGACACCGATACCAGAACAGCTCTTCTCTGTGTTTGGTGGATTAACCAAGGATCATCAAGAGGAGGATCGTGGTTAGTACAATTACACATCATTCGTTTTATTCGCAGTTTTAATAAAGCCATTTCCTAAAGCTGCCCGTCTCTAATGCTCTTGTATCATAGCCGATTTTATCAAACCAAAACGAAAACCGCACTGTCATTATGGGGTACTACAGTGCGCTTCAAATTCTTAAACGCACCCTCTAAAACAGCGAATTTTCCGAATTTTGACCACCGCTACAACTATTAATCTTTTTCTATCAGAAAGAGCATGTCTCAAAACCTAAAAAGCATGAAAAAGAAGCATACTGTAAAAAGTAAAAATTAATTTTCACAATAGAAACTTTTTGCTAAATCAACCGTTTCAAATTCTTAGACGCACCCGCCTTTGTTGTTGTTACTTGAAATTTTTCGTTTTGTTGTGCATATTTTTTTATTAAAAAATTATAGAAAAATTATAGAAATTCCGAGTTCGTTTATGCACCCAAGAAGAAGCCAGAGTATTGTGAACAATCAATAGAATATAGTTAGACGAAGTTTTGTTTGATATTTCTATAGCCATCGCAGACGTCGTCTCAGAGAGTTGTGACATAAAACCCGATGAGGACTAAAAATAACGAAAAAGAGCAAAATATAGAACATAAATTTAGGGGACCTAGCACTAGTTGCTGATTTTTTAGTGCCCAATCGGGAGCCGATTGATTGTGTGTCTTCGGGAGGGGAGTCAAGAGAAGAGTTGAGCGATCGCTTACAAGTGATCCGCATGGGGTTTGATTTGGGCTCCCTTGCTCCTGTTTGATTGATCGAGGGGCGGAGGGGATGGCCGGGAGTGGGGGAAGAACTTTCGGTGGGCGCCTTGAGGCCATTCTTCGCCAAGATCTCCTCGAGTTCCTAGGTTTGCGTTAAAAAATTGCGTATCCTTAGTCTTTATCTACTCGTTTAACAGGTATCTACACTAATGAAATATAATATTTGAAAAAGATCGTCACTTTCCCGAGTCTGCAACTTCCTAGTTTTACCACTAAATAATAAGATTACCACGTGGTCAGCCTTAAAAAGGCCTTCCAGAAAATGTATCACACTAATAGTTTAAACTCAAAGCCAAGGTACTGTAGCTGTAAAAAACAATCAATAGAATAGGGAAGCCAGTCTAAGCCAAGCCATTTCCCTCACTCGCCCTGACTCGATCGGCGTACTGTTTGAAGCAAAAAAGTTGAGATCATTCTCAAAGAGCCTCTCAGCCATCAAACAAAGATTTTCTGTGCACTGATTCGATCTGAGAGCCACAAGAAAGCCACAAAAAAACACGTTTTTTGCACTAATTTTCAAATTTTAATAGCGACAAGTACGAACTTGAAAAAGCATTGTATCAAAATCTTTACAACTTTTTATTGCTAAAACAACAATACTTGAATAACACAAATCATGAACACAAAGAATAAACTATTTCCGAAATTTGCATATGCATTTAAGAGAATTCTTATCGATCAAAAATCATTTTTTATTCCGGCTACTTTCTGATTTGGACGTTTCTGCAAATCAATAATTTTCAACGCAAACGCAAACCATTTGCCGAGGCTAAGGGAAATTTTGTTATTTTTTCCTTATTCAGGTAGTGTCTTATTGCTAGTAGTTTTTTCTTATATTTGGTGGGGAAATAGGAGCAACTACAGGGTGTGCAGAACAAATATTATTGACAGCTTGGACTAATTAGTGTCTGAGTTTATGTTGCGGGTTTCAAATTCTTTTGCTATAGAATGAACAACAAGAAAGGATCGATAAACGAAGGGGCCATCGTTCGTCGAACTAGAGCGAGTGATAAAGAGAAAGATGAGTCGCCAGGCCGAGATCAGGATCCGGGGCAGAACACTCCGTCACCCCCACCAACGAAAGCTGCACAAAAAGGAGGAAAAACCCCTCACCTTCCGAGAAACAGATTTTTATTTTTAGCTATACCTGTGTTATTCAGTCATTCATTCAATCCACTCAACAATGACAATTTTTCCTTTTTTCTCTGATTTTATTACCTTAAGCCTTAGGAAGAAAGTGGCTCAAGTTTGAAACTTAATTTATCGAAGCCATTTAAAGGTGATTGATTTATTTGCAATTGATTTCTTGATTTTGCAAGTTAGCTTAAGAACTCTTTCCAGCCCAAAATTGCTGATGAAAAGGAAAGAAAGATAAAGTCTGAGCTTTTAGGATTGATTTCAATTTTGCCTTGGCTACGATAAATGACTGTGTGATGTGAAAGTTTAGGTGAAATTCGGGGTTGGATATAAAAAAGTAGACTTACCAGGTCTTTCAAAGATCCTGTAAAGCATCTACATTCTAAAAATATGCAAGCAATGAAGAAGAACATCTTTGACAAGCTTCAAAATTGGGCTTTTGGTGTTGTTGCAGTAAAAAAATGGCACTCGTCGAGCTCATTTGACTAGATTTGGGCTTAGTCTTAGAGCTGTAAAATTTCTGGTTTGATTGATTGATCTGGATTGATCTGGAAAAAGGCTTTGGCATATTATACTATTAAATATTGTGATTTATCTTGTTTCAATACTGATTAGGTCAGCAAACGCAAAAAGAAAGTCGTGTTTCAAAATTTTTGTGGTTTATTGAAATTCTAAATGTAGTTTAGCTAAAAGTTTTCGGTTAATCCATAGCGAAATTGCCTTTCAAGAATGAGAGCGGCTTTCAAGAATTCCCGGCGGCCACTGCGGTCTCGTGGTGTAGTGGTTATCTCATTAAGCGGGCTTTGAGTTGAAGAAGTTGACCACCCAATTGTTGATCTCATCTATGTCTTTGAGCTGTTCTTCTCGCAGGGAATGTTCCACATGGGGGAACTATACGGGACTATACGGGGCATCAGGAAGCACTTGCCACTCTAACTCTAACAGTAACCATTTCGCCTTTTTAGCACTTCAAAATGAAGTAATCTTGGTTAATCCACCAAACACAGCGAAGAGCTTTCTTTCCATGTTGTTCTGGTTTCGGTGTCGGTTTAGGAATTACTCCTGGACTCAGTTGTCCGGCTGTTAATTCAGTTGTTCGGCTGTTAATTCAGTTGTTCAGCTGTTAATTCAGTTGTTCAGCTGTTATTTCAGTTGTGGGCTGTTAATTCAGTTGTTCAGCTGTTAATTCAGCTTTTCAGCTGTTAATTCAGCTTTTCAGTTATTAATTCAGTTGTCAAGCTGTTACTTCAGTTGTTCAGTTGTTCAGCTGTTAATTCAGTTGTTCAGCTGTTAATTCAGCTTTTCAGTTATTAATTCAGTTGTCAAGCTGTTACTTCAGTTGTTCAGTTGTTCAGCTGTTAATTCAGTTGTTCAGCTGTTAATTCAGTTGATCAGCTGTTATGTCAGCTGTTCAGCTGTTATTTCAGTTGTTCAGCTCTTATTTCAGTTGTTCAGCTGTTACTTCAGTTGTGGGCTGTTAATTCAGTTGTTCAGTTGTTCAGCTGTTGATTCAGTTGTTCAGCTGTTAATTCAGTTGTTCAGCTGTTAATTCAGTTGTTCAGCTGTTAGTTCAGTTGTTCAGCTGTTAATTCAGTCGTTCAGCTGTTATTTCAGTTGTTCAGGCGTTATGTCAGTTGTTCAGCTGTTAATTCAGTTGTTCAGCTCTTATGTCAGCTGTTCAGCTATTATTTCAATTGTTCAGCTGTTATTTTAGTTGTGGGCTGTTAATTCAGCTTTTCAGTTGTTAATTCAGTTCTTAAGCTGTTAAGTCAGTTGTTCAGCTCTTGATTCAGTTGTTCTGCTGTTAAGTCAGTTGTTCAGCTATTAAGTCAGTTGTTCAGCTGTTAATTCAGTTGTTCAGCTGTTATTTCAGTTGTTCAGCTGTTATGTGAGTTGTTCAGCTGTTAATTCAGTTGTTCAGCTGTTATGTTAATTCAACAGCTTAACAACTGAAATAACAGCTGAACAACTGAAATAACAGCTGAACAACTGAATTAACAGCTGGACAGCTGACATAACAGCTGAACAACTGACATAACAGCTGAACAACTGAATTAACAGCTGAACAACTGAAATAACAGCTGAACAGCTGACAAAACAGCTGAACAACTGAAATAACAGCTGAACAACTGAATTAACAGCTGAACAGCTGACAAAACAGCTGAACAACTGAAATAACAGCTGAACAACTGAATTAACAGCTGGACAGCTGACATAACAGCCGAACAACTGAATTAACCGCCGAACAACTGACATAACAGCTGCACAACTGAAATAACAGCTGAACAACTGAATTAACAGCTGAACAACTGAATTAACAGCTGAACAACTGAGATAATAGCTGAACAACTGACATCACAGCTAAACAACTGAATTAACAGCTGAACAACTGACATAACAGCTGAACAGCTGACATAACAGCTGAACAACTGAATTAACAGCTGAACAACTGAATTAACAGCTGAACAACTGAATTAACAGCTGAACAACTGAATTAACAGCCGGACAACTGAATTAACAGCCGAACAACTGAAATAACAGCTGAACAACTGACATAACAGCTGAACAACTGACATAACAGCTGAACAGCTGACATAACAGCTGAACAACTGAATTAACAGCTGAACAACTGAATTAACAGCTGAACAACTGAATTGACAGCCGAACAACTGAATTAACAGACGAACAACTGACATAACAGCTGAACAACTGAATTGACAGCTGAACAACTGAATTAACAGCTGAACAACTGAATTAACAGCTGAGCAACTGAATTAACAGCTGAACAACTGAATTAACAGCTGAACAACTGAAATAGCAGCGCACTACTGAATTAATAGCTGAACAACTGAATTAACAGCTGAACAACTGAATTAACAGCTGAACAACTGACATAACAGCTGAACAACTGAAATAACAGCTGAACATCTGACATCACAGCAAAAATATTGTATAAGATTGCATTACGGTTGTATGGAAAAAAAGGAAAAAATGGAAAAAATTGGAAAAAGCCCGACTGAGTATTTTGAGCGAGTATTTTAAATGATTTTGGTTTTACTCAAAAAAATCTTCTAGAGTGTCGAGCATAAAGGTTTTCCACAAATAAATGGGTCACTTGTCCTTGGAATAGAGTGATGTTAATTTGATTTTGATGTTGAAGATATTCTGGATCAAACTAAATCAAGTGAAAGAAATATATAAAGTAAAAGGTCCGTTTGTCTACGGTCTTTCTGCACCTTTCTTTTCTTTCCTTTTCTCTCTAAATGTTTTAAACGGATCCAAAAGTTTCAACGCACTCACCGATTCTCCACAGGTGTAGTTGGCCCTCAGATACTTGTCAAAGTAAATCAAGTCAAAGAAATATATAAAGTAAAAGGTCCGTTTGTCTACCGTTCCGCTGCATCTTGGCTTTACATGGTGCCATATTCCATTTTAATCTATAGGCAATTAAAATTTTAAGGAACACAAAATTCACAGAACACAGTTTTATTTTACTGCCTTCAAAACAGACTGAAATGGCCTTATCAATAAATTCTGCAAGACTTGAAGTATTGTATCGAGAATATCAAAACGTTTCAGCAAGTTGCACCCTGCTAACTCATGACGACTCGGACGGGAGTCCAAGCATGGAATTTCCTCAGGGTCAACTACCCATGTGGAGAATTCGTGAGTGAGTTCAAGCTTTTCGATTCATTTCAATTTGATTTTCCGAAATTCTAGTAATCCACAAAATTCGAAGCAAAACAAATTTGATATTCTTCTTTTAGTCAGAGCAAAGAGCGTGTTACGTGTTTTGTCTTGATTCCAAATGATCGCTCTTGCTACAGCAAAAATTTCAAATTTACAAAACTTTCAAACTACAAAGTTTTAAACTTTAAAAAACCATAAAAAGAAAAACTGAACCTACTCCACTTAATTCTACTAAGCCAATTCAAATTATTCAAATGATTATTCTAGCTAAGCAAGCTAGCTTGAGGCAAACTTCATGCCTAAAGTTATTCACAATTTTACTTAACTCTACTTTAGATACTACACTTTTCGAAAACTTTTTTCCTCTTCAAATAAAGATACTTCAGTTTTTCCAGAAAAAGTTTTTCCAAAAGTTTTTTTAGTTATTTTGGTTATTTTAGACCAAAAAAGAAAGGATTCTTAAATAGAAAAAATGTTTTGTGTTATCGTCAGTTCACTGCCTCGAATTCCACTGTTTGCTATAAATAAATGTATCGATCAAGCACAGAAAATAACCAACAGAAACAGAAGATCGCACCATGAAAGTCGGATAAACCTAATTCAACAAGCTGGCAACAAAAATAGAAAAAATTGTGATCAAGGGTCAACTACACATGTGGAGAATTCGTGAGTGAGTTGAAACTTTTGGATCTGTTTATATTAGTGTTTCGAAAAAAAAAAATATTAGTGTTAGTTGTTAGCCACTATTCATTTGTTAGAATCAAAGATTTTCAGGAGCGAGCCAATCATATTAGGCCGAAACGTTGGCTTCACTGCTCAAGTTAGCTCAAGTTAGCTCAAGTTAGCTGAATTGCCATTCTTAAACAAGTTTAGGACAAAGAGTCAGATTCAGTATAATTTTGATCCATCACACGATGCAGCATCATTTTGATCTATGATGTTTCTTAAACTCGAGATTAAATTTGACTTATCAAACTTGACGTGAATGGTCGTGAATTGTCAATCGTTTCAGAAGGAGGCCGGAGGCAATTTTGACAAAAGTTTCTCTCTAATCATATCATAAAAAGAGCCAGTCGCGGGCTGATTTGAGGATCTAAAAAATGACCAGTTCGAAATATTGTAAATTCCTCGTTACAGGTGTTGTTTTAGGCAAATAAAAAAGACGCTTCCCACTTCACACCCTTCAACCAGTGACCAATCGAAATTTTGGCGACGATTGTGAAAAACTTTCAACCTCCTCCGCCGAAAAATTTCTCTAGCTTCTTTCAACTTCTTATATTTGAAAATTTTATCAAAGTGAGTTTCTCTAGGGTCCTACACCTTTTCTAGGGTTCTCTTCGGGCCTTGGCCCTAACTAAGATCAGGCTCAGTATCAAGTTCGGTCAACTCTTGAGCACCATTTGCACAAGTTGGTACCAAATCGACCTGAAAATCTCAAAATTGAAGCAACTTAAGGAAACGCACTTGAAACGTCACTTCCCATGTAGAAATTGAGAGCAAAAGTAGCAAAGTGTTTGCGGTGAGAAGCATGTTTTGGCAAATCACGCGATTTCAGACAAAACGCACGACTCCGTTTCTTGATTAGTATATATGAAAAATAAGTTCCTTTTCTTTAAATATATGGTTGAAATGGTTTTGGTCTTCCTTGTTATTTTCTCTATTTCTTGCTGGTTTTTGACTGTTTTTCATTTGTTCTTATTATTGCTTCGTTCTGGAATATCTTGACAGATAATAGAGAACACATAAGTTTGGAATTGCACAACTCTTAATTTCTAATTTTGCCTCCGATTTTCTCCGAAAGAACTTAAATTTAAATTGTCATTGATAATATTATATTAAAGAATATTGGTCCGGTGCTAGTGTGGTCAAAATAAATCTTGATTTAAAATAAATAAATCAATAAATAATTTATCAAGGAAATCCTGAGACAAAGTTGATCTAAATTTCAATCAAGCCTTGATTCATTAAAGTAAACCAATTGCTAAACTGATGGTCCAAGTTATAGTCTAAAAGATCCAAATCCAAATCCAAATTATAGTTTAAAGACTACGCACCTGTGTATTCTTAACTCTAATTGGGTTATATTTTAGTTTTTTCATTAGTCATTAATAATACTATCTTAAAAAATATTGGTCCGGTGCTATTGTAGTCAAAATAAATTTTTGTGTGGTCTTTCGAATGGAATATGATGAATTTGAATTCGAACAATCTTTTGAAAAAGCACGTGCTACACCTCTGAACGTTCGCACTTTATACTCCACTAGCAAAAACTTTTCAAAAGCGTCACGGTCGTTTTGTGCGTTATTTTGATAATTACTTTTTTGAACTTTATATACACAAGAGTCTAGATCCATTAAGTAGCAACGGCTATAAATAACAACTATAAATTATTGTTTTTCTATCAGTAATCGATTTTGTGTTTTTGCTTTTGATGGAATACATTAAATGAAGTTTAATGGAATACATCTTGTTTTCATTCAGAGTCAATACGTCAGCAAAACATAATCGAATTTGCCAAAAAAATGAGGTGAGATATTGGAATTTTATCCGTAACTATAAATAAATCTTGCAGACAAACTGATTTGACGGATATTTATTTATTTGCATATAGGTCATTATACAAGCATCACTTAACATGAACTTAATATTTTTAATTTCAGGATAACAAAAGGTCTAGAAGTGTTACCAACAAAACCTGCAGCAAAAAGCCCAAAGGAGGAAAAGGAAAAGGAAAAAACATTTATCAAGGAAAGCTTCGAGACAAAGTTGGTCTAAGTTTCAATCAAGCCTTCATTCATTAAAGTAAACCAATTGCTAAACTCATTTTCAGTGCAAATTATAGTCTAAAAACTACGCACCTGTATATTCTTAACTCTAATTGAGTTATATCTAAGTTTTTTCATTAGTTTTTATGATAACCAGTTCATCTAATTGGGTGATTTAACCATTAGGAAGGCCAACAAAGTAGATCAAAAGAGGAGTTAATGCCTGACTAGGTAACCTGGTGATCTTTTTCATCAAACCAGCAGACTTCAAGCAAATTGACATGAACATACAAAGATTAAAATTTACATTTGATTTTTGAAACCAAGCAGACGTTTTAGGCTCCTCAACTCTAGTCAAGATGACTCAAAAACATCAACTGGATCGCGCCGAAAAAGAAATAAAGGCATCACCTTTACAAAAGAATCACTGTCAAAGCAGCGCAACCAAAGGATACGACGAAAACCGGCTGCATTTGGTTACTTGTTATTCAAAATATGTTGTTAGTTGGTTAGCCGTTATTCGAAAAGCAATAACTTAGAGCCTAAACTTTTCGATTTTTTTCTTATATGGCTGTTCTAGATGACTATGTCAGCTATAATATTGCTGCTTCACAAAAACCACGTCACGTATTGAAGAGGCAAGCCGCGTCTGACACGGAAAACAAAGGGTTGGAGTTGCCTCAAACGCTTCTAGAGCCAATGGAACCACAACTACGGCAATCACCGGCCAAGATTGAGTCAGTTTAAAAAAACTTCTAAAATGTTTTTCACAATGCAACTAACTCGATTTAGCTGTCATAGTAGCTTTAGCCACTAATTAATTTTATGAGCGAGCGAATCACTTTCAACAACACTACGTACCCTAGAGAAAACAGGATTAAGAGTGAAGGTCGATATAACTAAACGCGTAATGAAAGATGCAAATAAATGCAAAGAAAAACGTTAGAGAAAGGAAAAAAACGCGAAAAAAAGTTGGTTTGAACGGTTACAGGTCCTTTCAAGTTAATCAGTTACAGATTTTGCTGTTTTTAGAAAATGAAAAAAAAAAAAATTTTTTTGAGCTTCGAGCAAGGCAAGGCAGAGTGCAAAGACAAAAAAGGGAAATACGACCCCTGCGCTGTTTCACCATCTGGCAAGGACGATGCAATATCTAATCCGCGAACAGTCAAAAATGTGAGTTTGTTTGAAGTTTTGCAATTAATTAGACCAATTCTAGCAAGAGGCGTCCACTGATGTTTCTTTGCAAAACACGAATCCGCCCTCTCTACCATCATGTTTACTCGATCGAGGCATCAAGGTATGAAGGTGAACTCATAACTCACAACCATAAACTAGTGTCTCTTGCTGAAGTTATTCAAACTTAGTCTCATTTCGATTTATCATACACTAAGTTTCACAAAGTTTATTGGCTTACAATGTTTAGATCGAGAAAATCATGAAACTCTTTTACGTGAAAGATGAGCTGGTGGGGCTGTGCAAATACAAGAACTGTCTTTTAATGCAAATTGTTACCGTGGAAAAGCTTAAAGAAGTGGATCCACAGGTAAGATTATGTTTGTTATGTTTTTACTAATAAATTTAGGCTCTTATCCGAGCATACGAGCCATTGTTTTGGGGCACGCAGACCAACAAATAGAGATTGTTAATTTCAAAAATTAATTTGGTTTTTTTGCTTGTTTCTTTCTGTTGTTTTTATTTATGTGTTTATCCTTATCTTATATACCTGATAGTTTTTGCTCTTCGAAACGAATGTCTTTGCCTTTGTGAAGATATATATAGTTATAGCCCCTTTATAGTTCGTTACAGTACAGCTTCTTATAGTCCCTTTATACCTCCTTGCAGCTCCTTGATAGTTACTTAGTTTTTTTTTACTTTACACAATTTAGAGTATCATTGTTTATTTACTCTCTAACACTACTTAGTTGAACCCATAAATCTAAAGTTTCAAGAAAGCCGATTGCAAGAAATTATTGGTTCCAGAGCCTAGAGTATCATTGTTTATTTACTCTCTAACACTACTTAGTTGGACCCATAAATGTAAAGTTTCAAGAAAGCCGATTTCAAGAAATTATTGTTTCCAGAGCCTAGGGTATCATTGTTTATTTACTCTCTAACACTACTTAGTTGAACCCATAAATGTAAACTTTCAAGAAAGAAAGCCGATTTCAAGAAATTATTGGTTCCAGAGCCTAGAGTATCATTGTTTATTTACTCTCTAACACTACTTAGTTGAACCCATAAATGTAAAGTTTTTGCGTCCCGACTTTCAAGAAATTATTGGTTCCAGAGCCTAGAGTATCATTGTTTATTCACTCTCTAACACTACTTAGTTGAACCCATAAATGTAAACTTTCAAGAAAGAAAGCCGATTTCAAGAAATTATTGGTTCCAGAGCCTAGAGTATCATTGTTTATTTACTCTCTAACACTACTTAGTTGAACCCATAAATGTAAAGTTTTTGCGTCCCGACTTTCAAGAAATTATTGGTTCCAGAGCCTAGAGTATCATTGTTTATTCACTCTCTAACACTACTTAGTTGAACCCATAAATGTGAAGTTTCAAGAAAGCCGATTTCAAGAAATTATTGGTTCCAGAGCCTAGAGTATCATTGTTTATTTACTCTCTAACACTACTTAGTTGAACCCATAAATGTAAAGTTTCAAGAAAGCCGATTTCAAGAAATTATTGGTTCCAGAGCCTAGAGTATCATTGTTTATTTACTCTCTAACACTACTTAGTTGAACCCATAAATGTGAAGTTTCAAGAAAGCCGATTTCAAGAAATTATTGGTTCCAGAGCCTATAGTAACATTGTTTATTTACTCCCTAACACTACTTAGTTGAACCCATAAATGTGAAGTTTCAAGAAAGCCGATTTCAAGAAATTATTGGTTCCAGAGCCTAGAGTATCATTGTTTATTTACTCTCTAACACTACTTAGTTGAACCCATAAATGTAAAGTTTCAAGAAAGCCGATTTCAAGAAATTATTGGTTCCAGAGCCTAGAGTATCATTGTTTATTTACTCTCTAACACTACTTAGTTGAAGCCATAAATGTGAAGTTTCAAAAAAGCCGATTTCAAGAAATTATTGGTTCCAATAAAAAGCATCGTTAACACCAGGAGGATGTTCGCCATCCAGATGTACCAAGGACTAAAAGAAGTTACTTTATGAAATTCGGAACATTATAGCTAGAGACAATTGTTTGACCGTCAGCACTAGAACCCATAAATGTAAAGTTTTTGCGTCCCGACTTTCAAGAAATTATTGGTTCCAGAGCCTAGAGTATCATTGTTTATTCACTCTCTAACACTACTTAGTTGAACCCATAAATGTAAAGTTTCAAGAAAGCCGATTTCAAGAAATTATTGGTTCCAGAGCCTAGAGTATCATTGTTTATTTACTCTCTAACACTACTTAGTTGAACCCATAAATGTAAAGTTTCAAGAAAGCCGATTTCAAGAAATTATTAGTTCCAGAGCCTAGAGTATCATTGTTTATTTACTCTCTAACACTACTTAGTTGAACCCATAAATGTTCAAAGTTTCAAGAAAGCCGATTTCAAAAAATTATTGGTTCCAGAGCCTAGAGTATCATTGTTTATTTACTCTCTAACACTACTTAGTTGAACCCATAAATGTAAAGTTTTTGCGTCCCGACTTTCCTGTGCCGGCTAATAGTACAAATCACGATTTTTATTTTCCATGACGCGCAAAGCTTGACGCGATATCTGGAAGCTCCAAAGCTTTTGCGAGGCTTTGGTAGCTTTTGCTGGATTTTCGGTTACAGGATAGAAAAAGTAAAATCTCACGAATTCCCTTTTTTCCTGCCTTCATTCGTTTTCTTCTGCAAAAATTTAAATGTTATTTTGCGAGAATTTATTATTTGGAACTTTAATAAACACATCCCACTGTTCACTTTTTAAAAAGGTGGAGACACGACGTGGAGAAACGATTATCTCGTCTTTTCGTCTATTCGTGTGAGCAAAACTCGAAATTCAAACCATCATTAACAATATCAATCATGTTTGCTTGAATAAGCATTATAAAAGCATTATAAAAGGATTAACTTGTTGTTTTTGTTTTTTTTGTTTGTTGTTTTGAAGTTGTTTTGAAGACTAAGTCTAATATGACTAATAGATTCAAATAAAACAGATTAGACAAAATTAATAAAATTGACGCAATGCAGTAAAATGGCAAACGAACCCTTTTGCCAGAGGAAAGACTTGCTCAAATAAATTTAGTAAAGATTCGAAAGCTTTGCACTCTAAGGTGGGATGACATGTAAACTCGTAAAAATAAGTTGTCTGCGTGTTAATTCTGAGTTTTTAACAACCTAATTGAAAAAGTTTTGCCTCTGAAAAATGACTTCATTTGCCAGGCCCGTTCAAGTTCGATCTAATAAAATCTTGTCGAAAATATAACGTATAAACAAAATTAAAAATTGGGTGCCGGGAACTGCTCGACTCAGCTTGAAGGTTGACCCGGGAGCCGATTGATTTTCCATGAGGATGGCGTCGAGCGGCTCCAATATCTGAAAATAACTCTTGTAACTTGAAATATAGCATGGTCATCAATAATAAGCTTTTCATTTTCACCTAATCGGGCTAAAGCTTGACCCTGTAAAAGGACTAATCTCATTTATTGTGTTTTGTCAGGGCCGGAAATCAGGGTCATCAGAACTTTCGAATGAACCAAAACTTAGACGCTTATAATTGAATGTGATTTTAGGCGGGTTCTAGGCTTGTAAATGCAAGGGTTGGTTCAGATTACTAAATTTCCAACAAGACAGCATTAGTGCTATTATCAACTTTAGCTCGTTTCAACCCAAGTCCACCTGTTAGTCATGTAGCCGTAAATGCCGTAGATTATCTTCCAACGATTCAACCCCCATCGTCCTCATTTGCTCTTGCAAATTGGAGTAGAGATTGGAAGACCTGACTCGTTCTCCAAAAGAAGGTAACATAGTCACAATCAATTTTCCCCGCATTTCTGGGGTTGAGTAGTCTTAACGAGGCACAAACACTAGCCCCAGAAGAGATTCCTAAAAATGATTTATGCTTAAAGGGCTGCTTTACCCACCACAAAGGAGACCTTCGGCTTGGGCCATTTGCCTGCTCATGAGCGCTGCTTCGTCAGAATGTACCTGGAAACGTTTGCCTTTCAAAATTAAGTTGTTTCAGTTTAACGTTACCGTTATGATGCCGTCATAGATCCTGGTGTTGAGTACCTTTCGGATAAAACCAGCTCCAAGTCGCTGAATCTCGTGAGGTCCCGAAGGACAACCGGAGAGGACCGCAGCCTCTTTTGGCTCCACTGCGTAGATCTAAGCCGCTTTCTATTATCTGTATTTTCTAGATATCTCGAAATTCTAAAAGCCTTAGTCTAAAAGTTAAAAACCTGCTTTGATATTGTGGTTCTTTTCTTTCAAAAATTGCCCAACTCCGAAGACACACATCGACCTGGACTTGAAATAATGAACAGGAAAGTTTATTAAAGCCTTTAGCCATTAATTGCTACACTCTGCTTAATCGCTAAGTGCTCACTTTTCCATTAGTTTGTTCCCAGATCTCCGGACCTGTCGTTAAGTAGTGAATGAGTGGATTCGCCGGATTCTCAAACTAAAAGATTTTTGATTTGAGGTCAATTGATTTAATCTTCATGCAAACAGCAGCCTCACTAGTGAAACTCCAGGTTTCTTCTTTATGAAAAGAGCTCTCGGAAAGCATTTTTACCCAAATATCCAAAGAATAGAAATCAAATTCAAATTCAAATAAAACATCCTAACTTTCTCTTTGAGATAAATGATAGAATATTTACTTGTTGCGGGATGTAGGAATTGAAAATCTTGCCCTGAAGTTCGATTGACCCTTGCATCCCCAACGTGGGGGCCGTCAATACTACTTCGCTTCCATAGGCTCTCAATAGAACTCTCTGAACAGCCAGTTAAAATAATTGTTAAACCTAATAGAAATTCTAAGAAAACACGTCAAAGATCCAGGCCGCCAACCTGATGGCTTTCCAGAATATTGTCTTTGCCTAAGTGCATATTAAGGTGGAACGCTGTTTTAAATAGTTTTAAAAAGTTTTAAAAATATCACAGCTTCCAATTTTCCTGTTTGGCAATTGCCAACAATTAACACCAACCCGTTCAACGCTCATTGATGCAGGCATCGTGAAGATGAGTCGATATCCTTTCACCGAAATGAAGGCCAACGCTATTCCAGTGTTCCCCGATGTTGGCTCGATCAGTGTCGTCCGCCCAGGAAATATCTAAGACTTTACGCTTTCATTTTACTTAGACCAAAAAAACATAGATCATATCTTATTTAGAATAGAATACCACCAACCCGTCCTGCCTTTTCAGCTGCGTTCACCATTGCATAGCCTATTCGATCTTTTAGAGAACATGCTGGGTTTGCATATTCCACTTTGCGGCTAGAATTTAAACATAGGAAACTTGAGAATCAATAGCCGATTTGTGCATAACATCCATGAGTGACTTTTTTAGCATCACCATTGGAGTCTTTCCAATCAAAGCGGTCGCATCTGGAGTGATATGTTCCTTTAAGCGAAGCTCTTCAGAGTAATCAACCCCAAGAAATGAGAGAAAGGAATCTTGAGCCATTCTTGCGTTGCACAGATAAGTATTTATGCTGTTATCCTTTTAAAATTTTCCACTGATGAATCTTGATTTCGCTTTAGGTGATCTTCAGAGACAGGTTTTTCTAAAATTGAAAGTTTACATGAAAGTTATAGAAGTTGCGCAAGGAAACTTAGGATAAGAAAGAAGGAAAAGAAAAGTGGAAAATCAAAATAAAGATGTATCTGTGGGGAAAGAGGGCCATTTGCCCTAATGCGAATAGCAAACAAGTGCAAAGGGGGACGGACCTCCATTGATTGGCGCACCGCCTTGACTTCTTTTACCCTTTACCCTTTCTCGTTTTCTTATTTGAACGGCTATTTTTGAAAGGTCAGTTTGCGGTGTAAAAGTAACCCTAAATAGAAATGGCGCATGAATCGGATTGGGAATAGCTCTCTAGTAACAGATCTGAACCATTGCTAGGATGTGATAAGGCTTTTACGCTTTCAAAATCAAAATCGCGTCATCAAAATCGAAAAGCAAATTGTAGAGTGAAACAAGAAGCTTTCAGAATTGAGTAATAGCCGAAAATAAGTAAAATGAGTGAGTAAAATGAGAATAATAAGTAAAATGAAGCCGAAAACTCAAAAGGCGTAAAAATCCCAGTGAAGTATATGAAAACTCCGGTTCTAAAAGCATCGATCGAGTAGTGCGCATGATGCCTCTACCATTCTGTGGGTGTTTCTGCAAGACGCGCTCGCAAATGGAGATTTGGACGGCTGACGGTTAGAGCAGAGGGCAAAGGAAGAGGATTAGGGGACGGGGACGGAAAGAGAGAATGGGTGAATTGAGATCGGAAAAACCAACTGGGCGGCGGCTGTTTTGAGCGTAGCCAATTTGTAGAGCCTTTTGAGGAAAATCGGGGAAAGAGTGTGAAGGCAAAGGGGTTTTTGTGGATTTCAAGAAAATTAAAAGAAAATTGGTGATCGCCTGGCATTTCGTTTTTTTATCTTTCCGTTTCCAATAGGACCCGGCGTTTTTCCTATCCATGCACTGCCTCGTTTCCCTTCCACCAAGAAGAAATCTATGCCCAAAGGCTGGTACTTTTTGTGAAAGTATATAAAACAATAAACTTAAGACCGCACTACCTCGAAAGTGTAAGCTTATTTTTAACAGTTGTAGGCAATCTAATCTGAACCTTCAAATGTCAAAATCAAATGTCAAATTTGGTAGTCAAATGCAGTTTTCAAATTTCTGTTGAATCATTTATTAGATGCTCTTTTTAAATCATTTATTAGATGCTCTTAGAATGTTCTATTTTGCAGCCTTTTAAAACCGACCCGGGTGTGGGCCAAGTTCTTTGCTGAGGGAGCTCTCTCTGAACGCCTCACGCCCAATCGATATACAACGTTAGCCCATGCCCATAGATCAACCGACCCAGCGTAGAGGAAAAATAGGGGGACTTTTTGAGAGAGTCACCAATTAGGTCTTTCGTTCTTTTATCTCTTATTTTTGATCACCAAGGTAGTTTCCGATTGGTGGCTGAAGTAATGCAAATAAAAGCTGAAATCGAAATTTCCGACGAGGAATGGATAGACGAGTAAGTTTTTTTGGTTTTGTACACCAAAAATATTTCTTCAACAACAATTAAACACAATTTCAGCAAGCAAAAATTCTGGAATTTTAAGCACGATTTATAGAATTGATGCTAACGTTGAGTTATTTTTTAAGTTTTAAAAATAAAATTAAGAGATTCAAAGCTAAATTTTGAAGAATAAAGCCACCCTCGAAGATCCGCGTGAAAAAGGTTTTGAAACTTGTCCTAGGGCTAAGGAATGATCAAAAAAGCAGAACAGTAAAATAAACAAAGCAAAGAAAAGGCTTAAAAAGCCTTTTTATTGTCTAAACCTCTCTTTTCACAGAATCTCTTGCCTTTTTATCAAAGTCCTTTTCTTTTTATCCTTTTATGGCACAGCGATAATTGCATTCTTTTCTCTCCTTGTCCTTCACAGCTCAATTTTCTTTTTTTCGATGAACGGTTGGTGAATAAATAAACAAAAAGATTACGTAGCTCCAGCTCATTCATATTTAACGTGTAAAAAGCGTCTCAGATTAAGATGCACGTGATATTTTATCGAAAACTTCCTTCAGTTGATTAATAATAAATCAAAGAGAACTAAGATTGTCTTTATAAATCAGTGCGGAAATACCAAACTCAGCATGTTTTATTGAAAAACGAAGAAATGATCACTCAATTACACAAATTTCAAGCAATCTTTCAAAAGACCATGTGAAACGCTGCAATTTAAACGAATTCTGGCAGAAAACAAGTTAGCAAACTGACCCACGATTTTTCGGGTTAAATTTAGTAAACAAAATTTGAAAAAGCGGGCCAAAACTGTCGAATTATCAAGAAGAACCATTTTAGCCAAGAGTTCTGCAATGTTTAAGGAGTTCTGTCAAAAATTGAAATATTTCGATGACTTTATCAAAGTCATGCGAACTTGCTTTTAGTAATGCAAATAAAAGCTGAAATCGAACTTTCCGTATGGATAGACGAGTAAGTTTTTTGGTTTTGTACACCAAAATAATTTCTTGAACAACAATTAAACACAATTCAAAATAATATAAAGTTAATAAGTTGTACAAATACTTAAGGCAGCAATGTAATGTCTTCTTTTTTAGCTTTTTTAGATTTTAGCGTGTGTTCTACTTGGATCGGACTCTGCAATTCATTTGTTTATTTGGAACGTCGAGTTATAAACTACCAAAGTGTAGTAATTAAATCAAAGTTGCTACTTGATCAATGGGTGTAACCCCAAGAATCAGAATCAGACGAATAAGTCGATGCAAGCAATTGGGGCAAGTAAAGCTGAGGAAATAAGCAACAACTTTTAAAAATTTCCTGAAAACCATGAAATCTAAACTTGATGATTTTGAGCTTCCAAACCTAATTGATTCTAATGAAAGCGATCAAGGGTCTAAGCCTTGCGAGGGTTGTAAAAACCGTGCCTAAATAACGCTGAAAGGGGTTGAGATCGGAAAAGTAATATTATGTTAGAGGTGGTTAAGAACCAGATGGCAAAGCCTTATGAATATTAACAAAGGAAGGGGTTAAGTATTAGGATGGCAAATGAAGAAATCTTAAGATCAATGGGTAACGATCATCAAGAGATTTCAAGGAATCTATACTTTAACTAATCCAAATCGGAATCGAGGAGTCTCTCTAGGAGCCACCGGGAATGATCCAATGACAGCTGACATCATTCTTCGAAGTGGCTGCTTTCTAAAAGGACGCATCATTTATATCAGCTCATAGACAGTCAGCTGAAGAGCCGGGTGCCTGGCTGTGGGCAGTTTTTCAACGGACCTTCGGGTTTCGCCTTGTTGCTAATGTTTTGAGGTTTTTTGGTGTCGAGTTAAGCTGCTCGACTTCGGCGATGCGTTGTCGACTTTTCTAAAGAAAAAAATCTTAGCTTGCATCAAGGCTCCCTGCAAGTTTTGTCAAAAAGTATTGTTGTATCACCTCGAGGGGACAACTTTAAGTGCTTAGGTTAAGGGTATACTTTGAGTTAAATTTTAAAACATACCCATAATTCGCCTGTCCACTTCTTGTTCTTATCGGTGACCGCCTTCTCTTCGATCCTTTGCTGTTATTGATGAACTCTTCAGGCCCTGTAGATTTTGGAGCATCCAATACCTAAAAACAAATGGTTAAAGAATTTTTCTTCAACTTTTTTCAATTTTTCAATTTTTTTTTAATTTTTTAATTTTTCTTTGTCCAACATTTCTTGTCAAATTCAGCACAGTATTGTCGACAGTTGGCTCTTGTGGTTTTTCTTTGGATGATGTAGATGCCTCACTTAAACTTTTACTGCACTTTTAAACAATGTATCCACAACTATTATATAGAATAGTGAACTTACACTGTTTTAGAAACTTTCTTCAACACTCCCTGTTTCACCTGCTCCGATGCCGGGATCTGCCCTTCACGTTGAGTCGGCCAACGCTAAAAGAAACTTTGTATATTGATCAAGCCTCAAAAACTAACATTCTCCATGGGAGGCGGCTCACGCGGACAATCATATTCAACTTGTCTTCTTCCTGTCGTCTTTTCATGGGTTCTTGTATGATGAGAACCCTAAAAAACTTTTAAGACGATAAAACACGTTGATCTTTTAAAAGCTATTCAAGACTAAATCGGATTCAACTTTTACTGCTCTACTTTAAATCCTTTGAATGCCAAAAACCCACATTGGTGGTTTGTGAAATCGAATCGCCCCAAACCAGAGATTCTTGTGGTGGGCTTTCCGGAGCTCTTTTGTTAACAGTATCCTAAAGAAAAGTCTGAATGAATGACAGCTTAAACCATTAAAACAGATTAAACGTCTTTGTTTGAGCTCTTTAAAAACTTTTATTATGAGAAATTATTTGTGAAAAACGCTGGGTAGAAAATTTAGGCTGGCCAAGTTTATGCAAGCAAAGGATATTTTTGGATTGCCAAATTGGACTTACCACCCGGCGTGGTTATTAATCGGAAAAACTTGAAAACCCTTTATGGGTCATCCATAATAGAATTCTTTCTTCTTCCGGGGCAAACATTTTTGTTTCATCAACTACCGAGAACGTTTGCTTCAAGGTTCACTAAATTCCCCTTTATATTCATTAAATTTGCCTTTGACCCCCAGCGGGGCTTTAAATTTTGTTAACTGATAAACCATACCTACGAGAATATGCATAAATTAGTATTTTGTGGGTGAAGCGCAGAAGGGCGCAAGGAAATAAGGTTTTTGGAGTGAAACACAAAATGTTATTCTTTGTATTTTTCTTAATCTATACTTCGTCACTAGGTGCCTCCGAGTAGTTTCTATTCCTTCGGCGTTTCCGCCGTTCTTTGCATCGTCGCAGAATATCAGCGTCGGCGCCTGGCGCGGGAAGCTTCATGTGGTCGTAGTTTTCCCCTTCGGCAATCGATAAATGCTTCTTTCCCGTGGACCTAAACTTTTAGATTAGCAATGTTTATGGAAAGGTAAGACTTACAAGTTGACTAAAACATGACTAAACACCGACGTTGTGCTGGCGTTGACTTGACCGGTTAGACTTGAACGAAACTCTTTAAATATCACTAAGCCTTCGAGTTTTTTATCACACTCTTACTCAACTACAGATGAAAAATGCTCGGCTACAGATATAACAACACAACTACCAGCTAAAGACTTCAAATGCCTCCTCTTCGAAGAGAGTACAATCTCCTCTTTATTATTTGATGTGTGAGTGTGAAAGGGGCGTTTCACGCGGCAAACGTGATGATTCTTGCCTTTGAGAGTGGATTTGTTGCGCCAAAATTTTGTTGACCCTCCGCTGGCCCTCATCATCCGAAGAGAGTACAATTTCCTCATGGGGCCCCACTCGACCCGATTCAGAAAAAAGCTTGACTCTTTGCGTAGTCGGTGAGGGTCGAGTTATGCGTGATGTACTCGGCAACACCGATGAATTATTGGCAAGCATATTCTAAAGCCTTATTATTACGCGTAACCTCGTCAAAATACACCTGTAAAACGTCCACCAAATTTCGAGAAGCTTCTCGAGGTTTATTAAGCAAGATTCCAAAGCAATCATAGGCTGGTGCTTGTAAAAGAGGATGGTGCATTCGAGCTCGGAGACCCTGGAAAAAATAGAGAACATGTCACTGAAAATGACCTTCTTTGGTTCAGTCATTATAACTAGCTAGAGAGTTACTTTATGCAGAGTCAAACTTTAAGCTAAAGATTTCATGCTATGTCATACTGCCAAACTTGATTATCTCGATTTACTAACAAAAATCTCTGTTTGGTGAAGGAAATAGAAGATTGGAAGAGTAGTCATTGTATTATTTCAGTACTACTGGCATGGGTATTCAGTAATCAACCCGAACGGCTAACTTTTTTAAAACGATCAGTGGAGCTTTTTGCGTTCCCCGTATAATATGCCGTTTTGCAAGAATTGTCACATCCTTAGTGTCTCAGTGTTTGCCGTAAAAGTAGGAGTAGTTATAGGGATTGGGCATTGCGAAATCATGTAGATATTCGCTCCTCCCTCTTCCAAAATGAGTTCTATTAGCTGGGCTGATACTTTGTCAGTTCAGTACTTATACATTACATGACCGATTTACCCAAGATTAGTCCAAATCCAGCCACTCACTTGTTGTTGTCTAATAAAATAGTTCGAGTACTCGGTTGTTTGATTTGGTTGTCCCGCGTTCACAATCTGTACATTGTTATCAATCGGGATGTAATCTGAGACGAATCTTTGCGCGAGTTGAATACCAAAAACCAACCATCAACTTCAATAACTTCTTGCTGACCTCGATCTGAATTTTGAGAAGATTCACGGCTTCTAAAAGCAATATTAAAAAAGACCACCACAATACGTGCAAACCTATAGCGACTATTCTGGAAAAACGTGTTCATCGAGTATTGCGAAGAGGCGAAATCAAAGAACTCGTTGCAAAAAGTATCCAAAGACTCGCGCGATTCACGAAAATTTAGGCGACAAGCTTTCTAAATTTTGTTGTAAGCCTTTTACATTTTATTTCATTTGAATTTTTTCGTAACCTGTCAAAAATTAAGATCTTTCAAAGTTCACTTCAAATTCGGGAGCGTGAATGTATCCTTGTTGTGTGGCTTGCAGAATGCACTCAATTATTCCCTCAAAATTGTCAATTTGGTCAACTGGCTAAAGATTAAACGGTAAAAAGTGCACTACGACAAATAACAAACCCGATCCAGAAAAATTGGTATCTCTTTGCGTAGCCAATTTCGTAGTCGGTCAGGGTCAACGACGAGCTCGTCTCGAGCCATCTAAATAAAAAAGTTAACATGCTGCCTTGTCTCCATAGGACTCTTGATTTTATTAGGCAGAATGGCGTTAAAATCAAGGATCAGAAACATTTGTGCTAAGGCAAACTTGTGGAGTAAAGCTCCGTCTTTGCTCGTTTTCAAATAAGTTCTGGCGTTTCAAATGATGAGCATAGACCATGCCACGGAATAATGGATGTTTATTGAGTTCCAGCCTGAAATAGTTGCATTTTCACTTGTTGAATTTCTCTTACTTACCTAGTAATAGACCCATTCACGCACGCTTCCTCGAGGCTTTTCGCCATGTTGATGGCTTGTACTAACTAACACGAAAAAATAATATTAATTAACTAGGGTCATTAAAACAAACCCTTTGCCTATTTTGCTCCCTCTCCTTGAATATTTTTTCATCTTGCCGAGATATTTTTATTTCTCTAAGGTACGAATTTATAAGCCGTGTGCAGAAGACCAACTTTTCCATAGCTTGATCATCTGTGTTGAGCCTTGTGTTTAGATAACGGTAGTGTTTGTGAAGCATTTGTTTCTCCACATCCAGAGGCACTTTCTAAAAAAATAATTAGATTAAAAATTTTGGTGTCAAATTCACCTCGGATTCCTCTTTGATCTTTTCTTTGAGAAATTCCTTTTTCAGCTCGGTAAGGGGTTCACTAAAGCAAATTGTACTATGATAGCCTTTTGTCAAACGAACATTATGCCATTTCCGCTGTTCTGCGAGAGTCGGTGGCGAATCAAAGTTGACGGAGTCCCACAAAGAGGGCAGTTCGGATTATTCTTGTACCATCTAACAGTTTTTAGATAACCATCAAGCTATAACTCACCTTCGCAGACAGAGAAAGCAAAACTTGTGCCCCGGATTGTTCCGACAGCCTCCAGGAATTGAGGGATCAGCGATCTCACTAAAAACTCAAAATTAAACATTTATTAGTTAAAAAGTTCATCAGTTCATTAGTTAAAAAACTTGTGCTACAGTATATGTGGAAATGATTTTGCACGCAGGGCTTTTTGAGGATGCGGAATCGACTCAGGATAGTTAAAAACCGCTGCGTGCAGAGATAACTAGGGTTTGTGAAGCAAAATCATCCAGTGACACTTAAGGCAAAATCCTTGCGTAGCTAAAACCCCTCAAATCTCAATCAAAAACCTCAGACAAATCGGGCACTCGTCATTTGTTTCATTCACGCGACCAGTCTCTGACATCTAAAAATAAAATTATAAAAATTGAAAAACTAAATAACCTTAAAAAACATGAAAAATTCATGACAACACAAGATTGTTTGGGCACACAGAAGGGATTTTAGCGCGTTATCGCTGAGAAAACGTTTTCAAAATAAGTCTAACCTAGTTCTTGAGGTGCTTCTCGGGTTTAGAGATTTTTTACGGCCAAACTCTTCAGAAAGAACAGATTGAAAAATTTTAATCAATCAATTTTTCTTAGCTTATACTTCAAAAAAGTGAGAGAAGGGAAGACCAAATTTAAAAAGACCGGAAGAGTAAAGGAAGCATAAGGAAATAAATTTAGTTAGAAAGACCAAATTTAGAGAGAAACCAAAAAGATTTAAAAATTGGTAATACAAAAAATGCGGAAATTTTTCCGTCAGAAAGAGGCAATATTGATTGAGAGAACAGCACGCGACGCCCCTGCACACCAGGGAAAAGAATGGTGTTTCAAAAAAAAAAAAGGCGGGCATATCACAGACTTTGGCAGGATTTTGGACTGAGAACTGCATGAATTTTAATTTTTTTAAACATTGTGAAAATAGGGCCAAGGTGAAATCGCGTGAAAGCGAAATCAGATTGAACAGACTTTATCTGACAAAAGATTTTTAAGCGGATTTTCGAATAAACCTGTTTTTTTTTTGGTGAAAATCTTGTAAAAAGATGCTAATTTGAGAATAGACAGCCAAAGTAAAAACACACAAAGAACGTAAAGAACTTCTAAACATTCTTTCTCTTGTCGTTTTTCGGGTATCGTTTTCGCTGAAAAATAATGGAGAAAATCTTGTGATAATTGTTTTGAAATATTTGTTTTGTAATAATAATTGCAAAATCTACTAAAGAGCTTTTTGACTCGTATATTGATCTAGTTCCCGTATCGTAATTGCTCCAACTCACGCTCACGGTTACGCCGTTTATGTATGTGTTGCGTCCGCGTGCGGGCGAGAAATACGCCTATTTGGTGGCTCAGTATGAAATTGCACGACACGTCGAACGACGCACCAAAAAGTCACCATGCATGAAAAAGCCTGAATGTCATCCACCTTGCTTTCCTGTAGAGTACCTTTTAAACCCCAAAAACACCTGCTTCGAAAAGCCAGTAATTTTTTTATATTTTTTAAATAAAAGTGACTTACTAAAAAAATTTCTGTAGAAACCAAAATTACCGCATTTTCTTAGTTTTCAATCTTTTAAACCATTTTCCTTTTCGGTGAGAAAATAAGATCCAGACTTTTAGCCTGTTTCCTTGTATTTTCCTAAAAATTTGTTTGGAAATTTGTTAATACTTTTATTGACATGATTTACATAAAACTAGGATTAAATTGGTTTCGAATTAAATCATAGTAAGTCAATCAAAAGTGCTTTCAAATTCAGCAAATCAAATTTTGTCGAACACTAAAGTTTTTGCGGAAAAAACGGAAAAATATCGTAGTCGCCTCCCCTGAGGTCGGGCAATCTGAAGGAAAGACGTTCCCCGGAGTTCTTCACCAGCTCTTCGGCACTAAGCTAAATAATACCATCTTAACTAGTGTTTTAACTTCCGAATCACTTGCCTGATCAGAGACTTCAATCGCGTTGACGGCCATGATTCTATCGTGTACTTCTAGCTTTTCCGCAGCCGCGCTTCCTGGCTGTAGTCCCGTTACAAGCACTCCCCGGCTTCTTTTACCAATTTTCATCCCAAGTTGTTGACCGGATTGCTAGTTCAAGTTGAAGTTGGAAACTCCTGACAGACATACCTTTCTTAATTCAAGAAGCAATGAATCGGATCCAATTTCATTTAGGTCTTTCAAGAGCTCCACCTCTTTTAAGGAAGGTACGCGTCCTTTTTCCGCTATTTGCGTCTTACTTAAGCCGCCTCGGTTGACTCCAAGTTTCCGCCTTGGCCCACAGGTGTTTATATTTTTACCCTCATCCTTTAACAAATTTGGCTTGAATGAAACCTGGCACGAAGTCTTACCTTTGTGATGCTCTTTTCCTCGACCAAAATACTTTTGGTTGAATCTTCTTCCAGGTCCTTGGCCAATGTATTGCTATGATTTGTTTTTTCAACATCAAAATGCTAAAGCGCATGGCCTCGACTACTTTCTTACCTGGTTTCCGATGCCATTCCCCCGGGTCCTTCTATTTCGTCTGCGCATCCGGGTTTATTCCATCCTCCCAACTGGAAGGCCACGTCTCTTGCCCAAGCCTATAATTTTTTTGATTTTTTGAATTTTATGAATTTGAGGGTACGATGGAAATTGGAAGCGTTGATGCAAGTCGGCCGAAACTTTCTTTAAAGGTCTCCATCCCAAATCGCTCCTCAGTCTAAACGTCAGAAAAGTTTGGATATATATCCCGACGCCTAACCCTAGCTCTGGAATCAATCAAAAATCAAAAAAACCATCAAATCCTGGTTCTGATATTGGGTGTGGTGCTTAGCAATGACTTGTAAAATGGAATGCCAATCTCCTTATCATTTTCTCTCTTTATTTTAGCATTTCAGGAAGTTTCTTGCTAGAGTTTGCTATTGAGAGTTTAGAAGTCAATTATTTGTATTGTGAAATATTATATTTTTGTCGTTATATCGGACCCTTTGCTAGACTCATGCTTTATTCTTAAGTTTATTGAAATTCCGACCGACTCTGAAGATCTGAATATGAAGCTTGATATTTTTACGCCTCTTTGGAGTCTTTTTCAATGGGAACGCTCATTGATTATTTTTTTGGAGTACTAATGATAGGAAACTTCAGAGAAACTAAGCATTCCGAATTAGAGTCTTTGTCAAAAATTTTTAAAAAATAGGTATACCTTTTTTAATTCGACAAGCAATGAATCGGATCCAATTTCGATTCGGTTTCAAGGAAAGTATGCGTTTTTTTGCTAATTGCTCACTTAAGCCGCTTCCGGTTGGCTCAATTTTTAGGTATATATATTTTTACCTTCATCCTTTAACAAATTTGGCTTGAATGAAACCTGGCACGAAGTCTTACCTTTGTGATGCTCTTTTCCTCGACCAAAATACTTTTGGTCGAATCTTCTTCCAGGTCCTTGGCCAATGTATTGCTATGATTTGTTTTTTCAACATCGAGCGTCTAAAGCGCATGGCCTCGACTACTTTCTTACCTGGTTTCCGATGCCATTCCCCCAGGTCCTTCTATTTCGTCTGCGCATCCGGGTTTATTCCATCCTCCCAACTGGAAGGCCACGTCTCTTGCCCAAGCCTAAAATTTTTTTGATTTTTTGAATTTTATGAATTTGAGGGTACGATGGAAATTGGAAGCGTTGATGCAAGTCGGCCGAAACTTTCTTTAAAGGTCTCCATCCCAAATCCCTCTTCAGTCAGAAGACCGGTTTAACCTATTGAATAGCTGGCAAAATATAGAAATAATGGTTTCTGAATCTGAATCGAGCTAGTTTTACCCCTCTTCGGAGTGTTTTCCGTTGGGAACGCCCCTTCCAAGTTTTTCTCAGTATAATGATAGGGAAAGCCTCAAAGAAAACCTATAATTTTAGGCTGAAATATTCGTCAACCAAATTGAAACCAAAATTTAAAAAAAGAAAAAATGGCTAGGTATTTTGCCTTTTTAGCATCATAGAAGAGCATCATTTTTAGGTATCACTTCATGTGCAGTTTGATTAAAGCATGAAGAAACGATAATTTACGATAATGCGCCTAATTTTATCGGTTGGCTTGAAATCGCAGTGAATTTTGCTTTCACTTTGACTGGGGATCCTTACAATCATTCCATAATTTTAGAGTTTGCGCAGTTCAGCTTTAAGCCTAGTTCAGCTCAACTTTTTCTACAGTTTTTAAAATTTGTTGACGAAGATTCTAACCCGGAATTATTAGTTTCTCTGAAGTTTCCTATCATTAGTACTCCAAAAGAATAATCAATGAGCGTTCCCATGGAAAAAGACTCCAAAGAGGCGTAAAAATATCAAGATTTATATTCAGCATTCAGAATAGGTCGGAATTTAATCAAATTTAAGAATAAAGCATGAATCTAGCAAAAGGTCAGACATAACGACAAAAATATAATATTGCAAAATACAAATAATTGACTTCTAAACTCTGAATGGCAAACGCTAGCAAGAAACTTCCTGAAATGCTAAAATAAAGAAAGAAAATGATAAGGAGATTGGCATTCCATTTACAAGTCATTGTAAGGCACCACACCCAAAATCAGAACCAGGAATTGATGGGGTTTTGATTTTTGATCGATTCTAAAGCTAGGACCAGACTTTTTCAAACTTAGAAAATTCATTCTGATCTTATGGCGGAGGTCAGGTCAAACTCATGCTCGGAAACCTATTTTTGTTAGTGTCAAGGTCAACTCGGTTTGGCTCACTCCCATTTTAATCATTGAGATTTTAATCTTCTTGAGATCAATACTCAAGTCAGCCTTGAGCAAAACTTAGGAAAAGAAGAGATTTCAGAACCCTTGCCCATATAAGGCTAATAAAAAAGACTTTATGATAGATCAAGCCATGACAATCGGTGAAAAAATGGGTCGCGAACTGGTCGCAAAAACATCGGCACGCGGCGATCACTCAAAACCTCTATGAGCAAACAGATAAGGCATTCTTGGATCGAGTTTTCTTAGTAATTTAAGAGCCTTATTCAACATACTTCTTAGAAATAACTAGGCAACCAATCAATTTAGTTTTTTAATTAAAATTAATTTACAGAGCTTCGAATTTGTGGATTTCTAGGAGCAAGGGATTAAAAAACCAAAAACAAAAACTCAATGAATTTGAGATTTGAGCTGAAATTCCAATGCCAAGTTCTTTGACAGACTTCTGAATCATTTCTTCCGAGAGATGCTCCTATGCTTTGAGAATCCCTGTCAAGTACTTCTCAGAAATTAAGAATGTGAAAAATTGTTTTTATGCCTCATTCAAAAAGCGGAAACTCTTTGAAACTATATTCTTTGCAACAACAATAAGACTAAGGAGCAGTGGTCTGAAGTATCATACACAAGCCTCATAAGGGTTTTTACCCAGTGGCAAAAAGACTGTACACAATTGGTTCATCGTCATTTCAAGTCTCTTAATAGAGAGTCGTTGCTTCCGCCCGTTAGGATAGCCTGAAAACCTTTTTGTGAGCTCATGCAAACGCGTGTTTTGCAAAAGCCGAATGTCTTTAGTATATAACTTGAGACTCAGTAAAGCTACAGCAACTCATCAAACACTCAGCAAAAAATTGTTGTTTTTGGCTGAGCGATAAGTTGCGAAGAGGTTTGTAAAAATGGCAGCCAAAGTACCTGCATGCAAATGAGTTTTATCCCTTTTTAGTTTGATCCTGAAATTCCCGAAGTGACAAAGAAACTGCCGTAATCTCGCTTTCTTTTAGACTCGCGTTGAGAATTCGTGTCTGGTAATGCAGAACAGTTTTGTCTCGCCACAGTCCACAGTCGAAGAGGGGTAAAACTATCTCGATTCAAATACAGAAACCATTATTTCTATATTTCGTACAAATCACGATTTTTTATTTTTAGGACAAAAATTAGGCTATTACCCAAATTCGCAAAAAGATCCACCGAGTAGTTTCGCTTAAATTGCAAGTTTTTGGAAAATTCATTTGAGATTTCTTGAAAACCGTTGTGATTCAAGAAAGGATTAAGAGATTTAGAGAGCTCCTTTTCCTTTTCTTTTTGCAGTTTTTGGAATTTCTTGGTTTTAATTAAAAAACCTGAAGATTCAGCAGGTTCAGTAAAAAATTTGCCGCCGGCTGGCCGATTTCAAGAAATTATTGGTTCCAGAGCCTAGAGTATCATTGTTTATTTACTCTCTAACACTACTTAGTTGAACCCATAAATGTAAAGTTTCAAGAAAGCCGATTTCCAAGAAATTATTGTTTCCAGAGCCTAGAGTATCATTGTTTATTTACTCTCTAACACTACTTAGTTGAACCCATAAATGTAAAGTTTCAAGAAAGCCGATTTCAAGAAATTATTGTTTCCAGAGCCTAGAGTATCATTGTTTATTTACTCTCTAACACTACTTAGTTGAACCCATAAATGTAAGGTTTCAAGAAAGAAAGCCGATTTCAAGCAATTATTGGTTCCAGAGCCTAGAGTATCATTGTTTATTTACTCTCTAACACTACTTAGTTGAACCCATAAATGTAACGTTTCAAGAAAGCCGATTTTAAGAAATTATTGGTTCCAGAGCCTAGAGTATCATTGTTTATTTACTCTCTAACACTACTTAGTTGAACCCATAAATGTAAAGTTTCAAGAAAGCCGATTTCAAGAAATTATTGGTTCCAGAGCCTAGAGTATCATTGTTTATTTACTCTCTAACACTACTTAGTTGAACCCATAAATCTAAAGTTTCAAGAAAGCCGATTGCAAGAAATTATTGGTTCCAGAGCCTAGAGTATCATTGTTTATTTACTCTCTAACACTACTTAGTTGAACCCATAAATGTGAAGTTTCAAGAAAGCCGATTTCAAGAAATTATTGGTTCCAGTATCATTGTTTATTTACTCTCTAACACTACTTAGTTGAACCCATAAATGTAAAGTTTCAAGAAAGCCGATTTCAAGAAATTATTGGTTCCAGAGCCTAGAGTATCATTGTTTATTTACTCTCTAACACTACTTAGTTGAACCCATAAATCTAAAGTTTCAAGAAAGCCGATTGCAAGAAATTATTGGTTCCAGAGCCTAGAGTATCATTATTTATTTACTATTTTATTTACTCTCTAACACTACTTAGTTGAACCCATAAATGTAAAGTTTCAAGAAAGCCGATTTCAAGAAATTATTGTTTCCAGAGCCTAGAGTATCATTGTTTATTTACTCTCTAACACTACTTAGTTGAACCCATAAATGTAAGGTTTCAAGAAAGAAAGCCGATTTCAAGCAATTATTGGTTCCAGAGCCTGGAGTAGCATTGTTTATTTACTCTCTAACACTACTTAGTTGAACCCATAAATGTAAAGTTTCAAGAAAGCCGATTTCAAGGAAATTATTGGTTCCAGAGCCTAGAGTATCATTGTTTATTTACTCTCTAACACTACTTAGTTGAACCCATAAATGTAAAGTTTCAAGAAAGCCGATTTCAAGAAATTATTGGTTTCCAGAGCCTAGAGTATCATTGTTTATTTACTCTCTAACACTACTTAGTTGAACCCATAAATGTGGGTTTCAAGAAAGAAAGCCGATTTCAAGCAATTATTGGTTCCAGAGCCTAGAGTAGCATTGTTTATTTACTCTCTAACACTACTTAGTTGAACCCATAAATGTAAAGTTTCAAGAAAGCCGATTTCAAGAAATTATTGGTTCCAGAGCCTAGAGTATCATTGTTTATTTACTCTCTAACACTACTTTAGTTGAACCCATAAATGTAAAGTTTCAAGCAGGCCGATTTCAAGAAATTATTGGTTCCAGAGCCTAGAGTATCATTGTTTATTTACTCTCTAACACTACTTAGTTGAACCCATAAATGTAAAGTTTCAAGAAAGCCGATTTCAAGAAATTATTGTTTCCAGAGCCTAGAGTATCATTGTTTATTTACTCTCTAACACTACTTAGTTGAACCCATAAATGTAAGGTTTCAAGAAAGAAAGCCGATTTCAAGCAATTATTGGTTCCAGAGCCTAGAGTAGCATTGTTTATTTACTCTCTAACACTACTTAGTTGAACCCATAAATGTAAAGTTTCAAGAAAGCCGATTTCAAGAAATTATTGGTTCCAGAGCCTAGAGTATCATTGTTTATTTACTCTCTAACACTACTTAGTTGAACCCATAAATGTAAAGTTTCAAGCAAGCCGATTTCAAGAAATTATTGGTTCCAGAGCCTAGAGTATCATTGTTTATTTACTCTCTAACACTACTTAGTTGAACCCATAAATGTGAAGTTTCAAGAAAGAAAGCCGATTTCAAGAAATTATTGGTTCCAGAGCCTAGAGTATCATTGTTTATTTACTCTCTAACACTACTTAGTTGAACCCATAAATGTGAAGTTTCAAGAAAGCCGATTTCAAGAAATTATTGGTTCCAGAGCCTAGAGTATCATTGTTTATTTACATAAATCTAAAGTTTCAAGAAAGCCGATTGCAAGAAATTATTGGTTCCAGAGCCTAGAGTATCATTGTTTATTTGCTCTCTAACACTACTTAGTTGAACCCATAAATGTAAGGTTTCAAGAAAGAAAGCCGATTTCAAGCAATTATTGGTTCCAGAGCCTAGAGTAGCATTGTTTATTTACTCTCTAACACTACTTTGTTGAACCCATAAATGTGAAGTTTCAAGAAAGCCGATTTCAAGAAATTATTGGTTCCAGAGCCTAGAGTATCATTGTTTATTTACTCTC